GGGGCAAACGAAGGAGACTGAGTTAAGAATAATAAAATAACTTCATTGTGGAGTATGTGATCACTTAGCACTTTGTAACTGTTTAAACATTTCTTTTTAGAGTGTTGCAGTTTTGACCTTTTTTTGTGAAGGAGAGGGTCTTAATGCTTGACATGGAAAACATTATTCTTTTATTCCATTGTGTTAATTTCACATGAATGAAACGCTAACATTCTTTTATTGTACTTATTGCTTAAGATAAATGTAAATAATACTAGTCATAAACCAACTTTAAAGTAGAATATTCCAGGAGAAAGTAACATCAAATGTAGTGATGGCAACCCTCAATTTTAACTTCTCTGAGCTGTAATAAAAATACTATTACTGAAAATTTTTTGATCTTTTATTGAAGATTTTTCCTTTGGTGATAATACTTTTACAGCCATCAGAATATAATGAGCAAAGGTCTTCTGGGTAGGTTTTTCATAACACAACTCTTGTAATGTTTTGTTATCTTTAAGAGAACTGTTATTGCTTTAAAAGCTCACGTGGTAAAGGCTGCATTTGGTAAGGGGTATAGTTTGATACTGCATAGCAGATCTTATTAGCTGCTGCTGGGGAAATAAAGTATTTATATTCTCTCCAGTGCTACTGCTTGTGAACTGTTTTAGGGAGCCAAATCAGCAGGAAACTAGCTATGACAGTAAAACAGTTGTTCTTAAAAGTTGTTTTAAGAGACTTTATTTCCTTGAATTGGCTCATTGCAGAACAACAGTGTGTTACATCCTCACCCCAACACAGAAAGCTATACTTTTTTGACAGCACTGACCTGATTAATTATTCCTGCATCTTTGAACTATGTCGTTGCTTTTCATAAAAATGGATACTAAAACATGGGGAATGAAACAGTGCTATTTTTATTTGCTCTCTAGACTAATGAAAACTATAGAATGTTATCACAAGGGACATATTTTCTGAATCTGAGTAGAAATATTAAAGCTTGAGGGTTCCCCCCCTGAACAAAATGTGTAGCTTGGTTTAAAGGAATTCTCCTACCAATTATTTTTTCTTCCATACAATCCCTTTGTGGCTTATGTGGTATTTTTTGCATAATCAGTATTTCTTTTCCTACTTGATTTGATGTATCAGGTGAACAGGGAGTATTTCTGGTACACACTATAATTTGTATAACTGCAATTATCTGTATTCTGTGGCTTTGTGAACTGTCCAGGTAGTAGCTAGCAGAATTAAAACTCTGCTAATAGTGTAGCTTATCCTGTTAGGTTTCTGTTTACCTTCTCCTACCCTAAGCTAATAAGAGTACTTCAGGTTTGCAGTATGTTTTCCTTGGCTCTTTTGCACCTTTGACACAGTGTTGACAGCATTGTGGTTTAACCCCAGTTGGCAACTGAGCACCACCCAGCCACTCACTCGTTCTTCCCTGGTGGGATTGCGGAGTGAATTGGAAGGGTAAAAGTGAGAAAACTCAGGGGCTGAGATAAAAACAGTTCAGTAAGTGAAGCAAAAGCCAAGCACACAAGCAAAGCAAAACAAGGAGTTCATTCACTGCTTCTCATGGACAGGCAGGTGCTCAGCCATCTCCAGGAAAGCAGGGCTCCATCGCAAGTTACTGTTATTTGGGAAGACAAATACCATCACTCTGAATATGTGCGTGTGTGGCCTCTTCTTCTTTCCCCAGCTTTATATGCTGAGCATGACACCATATGGTATGGGATATCCCTTTAGTCAGTTGGGGTCAGCTGCCCCAGCTGTGTCCCCTCCCAACTCCTTGTGCACCCCCAGCCTCCTTGCAGGTGGGGTGAGAAGCAGACGAGTCCTTGACTCTGTGTAAATGCTGCTCAGCTATAACAGAAACATATCTGCATTATCAACACTGTTTCCAGCACAAGTCCAAAACATAGCCCCATATTAGCTACTATGAAGAAAATGAACTCTAAGCCAGCCAAAACTATTGCAGACAGCAAAGACAAATTCAGTGGAGAAGGTGTCATCATTCTTGGCAGTGGTTGTGAATGTTTTTTCCTTCCCTACTGGAAGAAGAATACACAGTGAAGTGCATTGGGTTTATGTAGTGGGGGGCCTGCAGGGTGGCTTCTTTGAGAATCTGCCAGAGGCAGCCTCTGTATCAGAGCCAGTTCTAGTCGACTCCAGGATGGGCCAGCTCCAAGATGGACCCACCACTGGCCAGAGCTGAGCACATGGGTGATATTGGTAAGAAAGGGTAGAAAAAGCTGCACAACAGCTGCTAAGAGAGAGCAGTGGGAATATGTGAGAGAATCAATCCTGCAGATACCAAGGTCAGTGAAGAAGCGGGGGAGGAGGTGCTCCAGGTGCCAGAGCAGAGATTCCCCTACAGTGCATGCTGAAGACCATGGGATGCAAGTTGTCCCCCTGCAGCTCATGGAGGACCCCATGCCACTGCAGATGGATGTACCCTGAAGGACCTGTGACCCTATGAGGAGACCTGTGCTGGAACAGTCCATGCCTGAAGGACCGTACCCCATGGAAAGGACCCATGCTGGAGCAGTACTTGAAGAACTGCAGCCCACAGGAAGGATCCTATATTGGAGAAGGTCATGAAGGACTGTCTCCTGTGGGTGGGACCCCATGTTGGAGCATTGCAACAGCACGAGGAGAAAGGAGTAGCAGAGACAGTGCATTTTGAGCTGATCGCAATCCTGTTCCTCACTCCCCTGTGCTACTCAGGGGAAGGAGATAGAGAGGTTGGGAGTGAAGTTGAGCCTGGGAAGATGTGAAGGGTGGGGAGGTGTTTCTAGATTTGTTCTTATTTCTCATTATCCTCCTCTGTTTAAGTGGGAATAAACTAAATTAATTTCCTCAAGTGGAGTCTGTTTTGCTTGTGACAGTAATTGCTGAGTGACGTCCCTGTCCTTTCTCGACCTACAAGCTTTTTGATTTTGTTTTTTCCCATTGTCTTGTAGAGGACGGGGAGTGATAAGAATGGATTTGTGGGCACCTGGCAGCTAGCAAAGGTAAACCCACTGCATGAAGTCTATGAAAACTGCAGTCTTTTTGGTTTCATATGCAAATTTTAAAGTAGTTGCAAAATTGGACGAAGTTTTGATTCACTAGGTTGTGTGACACTAGGTTTTTGCTGTGCTGCTGTGACCCTGCTTTACAAGAACTATAACTGTTTCTTTGGCAGCTTCTCAATCCTCAGAATTGCCAGCCTTGAGTTTTAGGGCGTCACAGGTATTACCTACTTATTTCTAAAGGCCTGAAGGTAATCTTCAGAAATGCATTCATGAACAGTTATCAGTATGCAAACTTAAAGATGATTCCTGAATAACTTTGTGCTTGAATCACAACTATGGGAAAACATGGCTTAATATGTCTGTGTCAGTTGGATAGTACTTATTATCTGCTTCCTGATTTCAAAAGCTAACATTCTTAATTAGGTACCTTAATTAGCTAATATCCTTTAGCTAGCTCATAGCAACCAAAAATAAGCAGTGTTCAACCTGTTCAGGAAATTATTCTGGGAGTCTTTAGGAAGTGAGATTTTGAGTGGTAACTGCTTTGCAAAAATGGATATTTTTTAAAAAACTCATGTATCTTCTGAAAAAAAACCCTTTTCTCTTTCTGGAAGAAGAAATGAAAAACTTGTTCTGTTTCTTGCCTTCTGAAAAGGAGCACACAAGTTTGAAACTTTTTAAAATGAAAAGCATCTTCCTACTAGCTTACTTGTGGAGGAGAATAAAACCCTTTTACAGATTAATTCCGGTCTTGAAGAATGAGAAGTTTCTGTCTCTTTTTTTTTTTTTTTTTTTTTTTTTTTTTTTCCTTGAAAATTTGTCAGAACTTTTGCTTTGTTACCTGTGGAACTGTCCTGATAGAAACTTAACCAGGACATAAACAATGTCTTGCTGCCATTGATTAGTGACCAGTCCCCTCTCTATCCCTCTACTGGCCTTTCTTGCTTTGTGGGACATCTGCTGAGTTCTTGCTTGAGCCACTTTATTTTGCTAGTGAGGAACAAGAAGCAGTCACCGGGGGAAAAAAATTCAAAATATCAAAATGGGGAGGCATAGGAAGCAGGCTTTTTGCAACTTCAGTGAGTTAAAGCAGCTCTTTCAGGGGCTTAGTAAGCACCAGGTCTGGTTCTAGGAAGGAGGAACTTTGGGAAAGGAGCTTGGAAGGAGCCTTCAACCTTTTCATCCTTTCTACAGTTGACCATGCTTGTGACATAGGTGTTAGGATCACAGAGAAAAGTAGATTTTTGGATGTGATTCAAAGATCTGACCACAGGAACTAGTCTGTTCTAAGCAATAATGTCCATTTTATAGAACTGAAGTAGTTTGTATGAAGTTGTTTAAGGCTGGTATAGAATATATGAAATAGATTAATGCATAAACAATAAAATAGTGATGTATCTAATTTCAAAGAGAATTAACAAACCATGCAGGCAGTCTTAAAAAGGACCCTCTTATAATTTCAAAATACTTGTTTTTAAAAAGTGCTTGCAAAGTTACTAGAATTATATTTTAAAATGTTTATCTTCTACATCTTAAGTACAGTTAATGTAAGCTCTTTCTGCATAAAATCAATGTTTAGCCACTATACTTACGATTAACTTGCTTAAGATCTGATAATATGTACTTTATGCATAAAACTGGCTTTTAAAATAGATAAACCTTTGGAATATGTTAATACTACTTGTTGCTAATGTATACTGATCTGCTTAGTGGAAGTATTTTAAAGTAAATTTTTTGATGGAAAGAAAACTTTAAATGTATTGGGTGAAGAGGTGTAATGTTTTAGTAACTTGATCCCTCCTATTTCACTAAGCATGGTCTTTATTGCTGATGGAAATTGTCCAGCTTTATTCTCTTTAGAGAGTTCTGTGTCTGTCACGTAGTTTGGCTGTGTCATTTGCATGCTTCACACTGCATGAAGCCTTAATGACTTGTTTCAGGATTAATCCAGTGCTAGTAAGAAACAGGATTTGAGGTCTTACACAAAGCTGGCAGGAAGCAGCTGTCAGTTTCCTGTTTCATTTCTTGGTAGGTGAAGAATCAGCAGAGGGGCATGACTTGATTTTCCTTAATCATGAGAGAACAAGATTATGAAGAAAGTGGGCCAAATCCAAGTGAGTCTTTTTGAAAGACAATACCATGGTTCTAACGACTCTTTACTAAAATAGCAGGTTCTGTGCTTCCAGCTATATTATAAAGAATTTATAAAGAGCTTCTGCAGTGTGTTCACTGAAAATAGTCTGTGTTTGATTATAATAGTAGCTGAAGTAAAGAAACTAAAATTTAGTGATGTTGAGAAGGTGATGGATGTAGTATTACAATCCTCCATTATGTAAAGGGGTTTACAAGGAGCTTAAGTGCACCTTGTTCTGCTTTCCAAGATAACTTACATAAATCGTGCTAGTCATAAATAAAAATAATGCAAGAAGTTGGTGATATAATAAATATATTTAGACATTTCTTTACTAAAAAACCCACTAACATACAACTTTGAAGTAGATTGTACTGAATTCTTAAACCCATCATGCCAAAGTTCAGAGGCAAGGTGTTAAAAATTCACACAAGGTTATTGATGCCTTCTCATAATTTGAATTAAAACAAGGTAGTGGCTTTTGAAAACTTGGGTTTATGTTAGAGCTCTAAAGAATACTATATATTTTTGTGTTAGGAGTGGTAAGAAATGAAAATATTAAGATTGTCTGAGTTCTCATTAGTTGCTTGTCAATCAAAAATTTGGACACATAGGAAGTAAATATGCATGATAGAGAAGATAGAATTACAGCTTTTGCACAGGCAGCTTTTCTGGATGTGACGCTTCTATATGTCAGTTTTAGTGACTTTTATACTTTATGTATTTTTACCTTAAAAAATTATTTACATTAACAGTAAATGCTTGTTTACCCTTGTGCAAACAGGATCTTATCTTCATATTCTCAGTCTGTAGTGGTTTGTTCTTAATGTGACCAAATACTAACTTAATGAAAATGCTACCATCATTTTTATTAGAACCTGTTTTTCACCTGTATCTGGCTAAGTGGAACCTACTTCAAGGTACATGGACTATGATTAAGAGTTGCCCTTTGGAAACTATGAAAGGTTGGGACTTTTCTGTGAAGTATTATTCTTCAGCTGTGTTCTACATATAAACACATGCATAGACAGCAGCATATAAAGGTAGAAATTTCTAGTGGGAAGCAAAACTTTTTAGTTTTACATGTGTACTTGTTTAGAGAACAGCTGTACCTTATCATAGCCAAGCTATATTATTTGAGGCCATGTGGTTCAGAAGTTTTAGATTGTTCTAATTTCTTTGAACAGAACCTGTGTTCTTTTATTTTTCAGATAGATGTTAAACTCTTAGATCATGACAGGAGACACAGATGCTTGCTTTTATGGACAAAATGTGTTTGAATACAAAGGCAAATAGGAACACTTCTTTATGTGAGCACTAATGACAGACGTGTGGAATGCAGTGTGGACTGAGGAGGCAGTGGATCTGGAAAGGATTTACGGGTCAGACTGGAATAGAATAGCATGAGCTTGGTGTAATGCTGTGGTAAAGAGGGCTACCCTGATCCTTGGAGTAGAGAGGTGATGATTATACTTATGTAAATAGCATGATTGAGACTGGTGTTAGAAAGCTGTATTTAATTTTTAAAATATGATTGATTTTTTTTTTTTTTCATAACTTAAAAACTGGAGATGATGTGCCAGAAAAATGATTAAAGGTTAGGAAAGTGTTTTCTGAATTTAACTGTTTGTGCTTCAAAAGGAAATCTTGAGATAATTTGATAAGTATAGTTACCTTCACAGATAGAAAATACTGTGAGTGGTTAAATTTGGAAGCTGTACCAGGATGTTATAGCTAGAAGTTTGAAAAGAGCCAAATTTAAATAGAAATAAGGAACAATTTGAGATTTTTCTAGTAATTAAAAAACCCCTTAATCCTTATAAAAAAAAAAACCTGATAGACTTTTTTCTTATTTAAGCTATGAAAACATCAGGAGATACACTGGTCAAATTTCATATGTTTTTTCAACGTTATAGCACCTAATGCAGAAATAAAGTTCTGCAACCTGTGGAAAGACAGGAAATCAGATTAAATGGTATAATATTTTTGTCCTTAATCTCTTGAACAGGTGTCCTAGTGCAAATTTAGGATCACTTAAATGATCATTTCCTTTTTCTACCCCAAGCCCTGCTCTGCCACTTTCCCTAAGACAAGATACATGTAAAACTTTTTTTTTTTTTTTTTTCATGCTCTACATCTTTTGATTTGGGGGCAGAAAAGGGAGGAAACCAACCGCTATGGTTCTGTGATTTAGTGATATTGGCATCAGAGCTAAGGAATTGGTTTTGCTTACGCTAATTGCCAATTCCTACACTGATGGTGTCGCTAGTGACAGCACAAGCATTTGTGTAGTGAACCACCCAAACTCATCTGGATTAAAAGTAGAAGCAAGAATAAAAATCAAAGTAAACGAACTCTTTCCCAGCTCAGTATTAAACACACACCACTGTTGAAGTTATAATAAATAGTTCTGTTAGTGTGAGGAACAGTGCAGTACAGGGACACAAATGGGTGAGTAGAAATGCGAGGGGAAGGAGGGCCACATCTTTGTTGACAGAGGTGGCTTCTGCTTGTTTAAGCTATGCTGTTGGCTTCTGTTTTACACTGTATAAAATGCACCAGTTTGGATCAGTTTAGAAATTTTTAACTGGTAACATACCTTAAAGTATTCTGCCTGTCAATGTTTGTGAGGATCTCTGCTCTGAAATTTCTGAGGAATATGAATTTGAATGAAGTGCTGTCTCTTGCCTCTACGATGAACACTTTGAATTGTGATATACAGACATATTCTTGACATAAATTATTTTTGATGTGTGGAAATGTTAATGAGAAATCATCTGATGATGTTATCAGTTCTAAACTTGAGGCTAGCACAACTCTGGCATGGTTTGGGATGATAACTTGTGTGGGTTACACCCCAACCCCCAATTGCCAATGCAGTGTATGGGAATGCGCATTGTGATTATATTCATGAACACTCTGAATATTACCTCCCAAATTTGAGACGTCTCCTACATTCTCTGCTTGCAGCTGTATATCTCACATAGGAAATGTAATTTGATGTAGTTGACGTCCATGTAAATATAGCTACAGCCATCACAGTGCTTGAGTATCTGTAGAAATCAGTAGTAGGAATTTTTGCATGTCCCATCAACACAGAAAATACTAGACAGTCTTCTATGAAAGGTACGTTAGTTATGGCTTTAGTTTGTCTACTGGTCCATCAGTAGGCACAGAGTCGTGCTATGGTGTGTGAAAATTCCATAGCAGATCAAAAATAGTAATAATAATTTTAGAAGTATATATTTAAGTGGGAAAACAGAATTATTTCTAGAGTTTAGGCTTTGATCACCTTATGTTGGGTGGAATGGAGTGTTAGATCAAACATCTGCTTTTTTGTGTGTCATAAGACAGAGGAAACATTCAATCATAATCAAGCCTGTTGAAGAATTTTTTGTTGTTTTATTTTGGCTTTCTTCCATATCTTTTAATACCAGTGGTGGTCCAAGATAAAATACTGACTCAGATGGACTACTAATCTAGTCCAGAGTTAAGATTTTTGCCTGTAAACCCTCATAACTTGAATTACTTTCAGAAATCAAACAACAGTAAGTATTGATTTTTGGAGTGCTGCAGTTGCAGAAGTTTTAATTGGATTCCAGAAGACATGTGCAGCTTAGATATGAGTGTCTAAAACAACGTTGGAAATTATCATTCTTATTGTATGTTTAACTCACCTCCACACCTGTGAAGAGTTTGAGTTGATGCAATTTCAAGGAAGCCTGAGGGAAAGGTGATTTGCTTTGTCAAGCATTGGAACAGGCTGCCCAGGAAAGTGGTTGAGTCACCATCCTTGGAGGTATTTAAAAGATGTGTAGATGTGGTGCCTAGGGACATGGTTTATTGTTGGACTTGGTAGTGTTAGGTTAATGGTTGGACTCTGATCTTAAGGGTCTTTTCCAACCTAAACGTTTCTATAATTTTATTATCTTTAATCTTCCTTATATAATTCAAGGAAATAGGGTTAAAACATACAGCTGTAAATTGCTTGAGACTTACTAATGGAACAAAGAACATATTTCTATATTCCATGTTACCTCAGTGGAAGCAACTGAAGTAATTTTTTTCTATTTGCTTCATTCCATTTGGTGCAACAGAAATGATATTTACAGTATTTGTGAAAAGTGTGAAGTTTTTAGCTCTGTTTTGCTAATGAATCCCTTCTTTTGAAGAAGGGATGAGATAAAGATTGGGATAGTCGCTTATTGCATTAACCTCATCATAGTTGTTGGCTGTGTGTTGAGATCCTAAAACTAGTTCTTTCTACTGGGTGGTGTAATACACCTCAATTTTAGGTACGTGTTTCCAAGGCTCTCTGTATTTCTAAGCATACTAAATAAGCATACTTTCAAAGGTGGTGTTTTTTAATTGACAGTCCATATGATTTTGTGGACATCAATGCTGGAAGCTCAAAGGAGGTTGTTCAAAGGTGTTCATAATTGCAGGATTGGTCAACAAACTGCAGATGAGAGAGTACTTGTCAGTACATTTTATTGTCACTTTTTCAGCATTGATCCTTTTTCAAATAGAGCTAGAATAGGTACTGCTGATCATGTCAAATACTATAAAAATGCTGTACCAAACATACAAAAAGAGACAACTTTATTAAGGAAATGGGAGACTTTTATAGATTCTGGCAGTGATAGGCTGTTTTGAAGACTAGTATTAGAAAGCTTTACAATAGGTAGACTGTTAGTTGGAAACACTGGAAAATTTTTGAAGAATAGGGAACCTAAATGCTGTGTTGTTCCATTTAAAATCTGTTAGGTGCATTTGACAAGGCTTGTTTGTTAGAGACATTGTGTCAGAGCTTTTTCCTATGGAGCAAAGCCAAGTAACTGTTTAGAAATACAAGCATAAAAAGGACTTCACTGTTCTTCTACCTGTAATTTAAAATACTTAATGTACAGTACTGAAATGCTGATTTTTATCTCCAGAACTGGTAAGACATATTTTTTAACCTCAGAACGGTGAGTACTGATTCACATTATTCAATTGGCTACCCTTTTTTTGATGTTTTGATTAGTCTGATGATACCCACTGAAGTAGTGACTTCAGTGACATTACAACTCTGCATGAATGCAAAACAATTCCCTAGCTCAGTTTTTGAAGAGTGATCCTTTCGGAAGGGATTGGAAGTACCCCCAATGGAGTACTGATACTTAGCTAGTAAGTGCAGCTACGAGCTGTCAATAGGTGAAAAAATCAATAGAAGTGTTGTCTTAGCAAGACAAATATCAAGCAACCTTATTTTTACTTTAACTTGGGAATATGCCTTTTAATGAATACTTCTTAAAAACTTTAGTTAAAATAACGTGGTCATTTCAGGGAAAGAAGAAAAATGTTTCAGAAATCTTGGGAAGGAAGTGCAATGTCTTAACTAAGAAGTTGTAGTGCTTGTATGCTTTAGGAAGGTGGTGAGAGAAATCAGCTTGTATTTGCTTGGGGACAGAGTTGCTTTTTTTTGTTTGTTTATGGAAAAGCGACCTTAACCTTTCTCTAAGTATAATGGGGCCAATTAAAGGATAAATGCCAATTTCTCAGACAACCTGGTGCCAAATCAGTATATTGCAGGCACTGTGAAACATCTCAGGGGGCTGGTTCATGAGGGAGATTCTTCTGTGTTCACAGTGCTCCTTCTGCTGGCCTTGCATTAGCATTGTTGGAGGAGAGGGACCTAGCCAGGCTCTAGGACTTGAAGCAATGGGGGTTCATTATAAACCGTAGAAAAACAGAAAAATGAAAGCTGGAGGAAATGCATAGAAGGAGATATATTAGATAAGAACAGCAGTTGTGGATGATTCATCAACAGTTCATCTCTGGATCGTGGAATTAATTCTAGAGCCGTAATGGGCAATAGCTGTCTTCTGAGTCTCTTATGATAGTATGTGACTTCTGTGTCATGATACCAGTAAATATAGTGATACTATGGAGAGTCTGTCGGACAAGGGAGTTATGGACAGTAGTAGGAAATCCATCAGGGATGTAGTCACTCATCTGCTTGAGGGACCAAGATCTATTTCTGTCTTTATTACAACCAAGATAATACTTTGTGCTGAGACTGGTGTCCATGTTTGGAAGAGCTTTGTTCTGGGACTTTCTGCCCTCTCCAGGACACTTCTCCCCACATAGTGGAGGACACAGGGAAAAGACTACAACTTGTTCTCCAGATGTTCCTTAATTCTATAGTAAACAGAGTCTGTAGGTGCTATTGCTATAACTTGTGAATACAAGGTGTAAGGAACTGAAGGAAGTAACGCCTCAAACATTGATCGATAGGCCAAGTGGCATAGGCCAGGACTTGAGATATGTTGATGTTGCGACAGTATCAGCATGTAATAGCTTTTGTATTGCATGGGCTGGAAGGCAGTGAAAGTGGTGCTGTGTTTTGAGAGGTGTACCAGAGCAGGTCAGGGGAGCTACAGCATAATGAGATTGATATTTCAACGAAGAATAGAATAAATATAACATGTTATGGAAGAGTCCTCACAACCTTCATAAAGTAATTCCTTTTACATTGCTTTTTCATAAATCCCTGCCTCAACTACTGGAAATTTTTTGAGGGAGTTGGTAAAGTAATGAAAAGGTAGGTTGGGGGATTTTATGTTGCCCAGAATATTTATGTGAAGTTCTAATATCAAGTGCTTTTAAGTAAACTAGAAAGGTGGGGCAGGGGAGAGATCAGTATATGTATTAAAGAATAATAAATAATAGTGAAGACACAGAGCACTGTACAAATATTAGACTGTTAAAGTAAACTTAATTTCCTTACATGTGGATGTTGAGCGCATGTGTCTGGGACAAAGACACAGTGTTTGGCAGCCACCTTCAGTGTTAGCTAGAACCAGAACCAGTTCTTAAACCAATGTTTTCTGACTATTCCTTTTATATCATAACTTGTCTTTTTTTTCCCTTTTGTTTCTAATTGTTGCACTTTTCCACCAGGGGATGGGATCGCCAGGGAAAGTAGTCCATTTATTAACAGTGCAGAGATGGACAGAGGAAACATGTATGAAGGAAAGAATATGGCTCTCTTTGAGGTAAGTTAAATATGTATTTCACCTTCAGTTGAGGCTGTGGTAGTAAGATGAAAACAAACCCACACCCCTTTTTTTTCTCTTGAAATTTAGTGGGGGAAATTTTTCATACCTCTTCAGTAGTTTGCTTCTTGCTAATATTCCATTTAATTGGATTTGTATGATGTAATTAAAAAAATGCTGATTTTTTTTTTTTTTTTTTTCCCCTTTTATTTTAGTATTTCTGTATAGGCAAGTAAAATAAATTTTGGTATGCGTTGATGTGAAGATATGAAATAAGCCTTCTTGCATTTAAAATTTTTGGACTAGGATCTGGAAATTGTTAGAAAAAGTTGCTGAAATTTAAATCTAGTGGTTTTAACAAAGCAGTATCCAGTTTTAAAAATATTATCAAATATATTATGTTCAATGGGGGATATGCAGACTTCTCTTAAAACAGCAAAACTATAAAACTGTGATAAGGCATGACTTATTTATATTGTCCTGCTATAGTGTAGAGCTATTTGTAGTTTCTTATATAAACATCTACTTTTAATACAGGTTTAATTCACTGAATGATTGCAATCATCCACAGGAAAAAAAAAGTATATTGATATGGTACATTTAAGTGCCACTTTTGCAATGAAATAGTACTTTTAATGAGGTTTAATCTAAGTCGTTCTGCTGTAGCATCAGCAGCTGGTTTTTCTTTGCTTGCTGTTAACAATAAAGTCCTTCCAATATTGTTTGCTTAGCTGTCTTGCTGTTGTATTCTACCCACTATTTTCTTGTCACCCTCTTACGCTCCTTTATTTCTTTCAAATATGTTTGCACAGAGGACATGATATTTCAGTTCCCTCTTTTTGCATGACCCAAATATCATATTTTTATTATCTTTCACTAAGTCTTAGAGAAATTGTGCTAAGGATCAAAGTAATGTTGGTCATTAATTGTCTCTCTTTGTCATTTATGGAATTTCTTACTCTTTTTTAACAGAAACCATAGTAGTGCAGTTTTGTCATTGAATTTCTCTCCTTCAAGCTCTGTTCCATAAAGCAGTGTCTAAAACTTCCTGTTGTTCAAATTAGCTGTTGTGTTCCTCAGTGTTGATACATTTCCTATAGCTACTTTTTGTCCCTAATCTCCTTTGAACATATGTTTGCATCAGTTATTTTGAATAGTGGCTGATACTAAATCCTCAGCTGATATAATGACGGCTAGCTTTTACATATCTCAGATTATAGACTGCAACTTGCAGTGTTGCCTTGGAAAGCCATCTAGTGACCTCATCACCATTGACTGCTGTTGTAGAGGTGAATCTTTTTTGGTAGCATATATGATTCATAGTATGTTTCCTACGATCATCATCTTCTCATGTTTTGAGCTGACTTGTGTTTGAATCTTTATTAAAGCTGTTAGAAAAAAGTTTGGCTATTATAACCATGATTATTATGACCTAATGCCTCAAGTCAGAACTAATGCCTTAGTTCTTGTCTTCTATTTTCAGTCCTGATCTTTCTTCTTCCTTCAAATATTTGATTTTGTGTACTTGATCGAATTCTCTGCTTCTGCTTTTTTTTGGTATCCTTTTATTGCATATGCTTCTGGATTTTGTTATTTGTTTTAGCATGTTTTTGTTTTGTAGCAGATATTTGGCTAAAGAAAGATGGGCTGACTTCTGTGTCATGTAGTATTTCATATGTGCAATTATGTATGATATGCATATGTGCCTGTATTTTTCAACAAATGAATATTGGATTTATCAACAAATGAAATTTGGAAGTATTGGCTTAAGACAAAGTATGTAAGCCCACAACAGCATGCTTGAGTGATCCTTAACTATCTTTATGTTTGAGAGAATCATTTGAGGCCACCCTCCAGACACAAAAAAGATGCTGGAAAAACATTCTTAATGATCGACCCTGCCAGTACAGTCCCCTAAAAACTGTTTTGTGGTAGGAATAGATTTTTATAAATAACAGTGGCCCTTTTCTAGATTTCTCTTACAGTCCAGATGTACAAGCTGCATATTGTAAGATAGTGTAAAAAAGTGAAAGAAAGATTGTAAGATAGTCAACACAATGTTAAACTACTAAAAAGATTTAGAGCTCTTGTTGGTTGAAACCTGAGTTGTATTTTGTCACGCTGATTTTTGCATTTGGGTGAATTAGGGCTGACCTGTTGAGTATGTGTTTGAAGTTGTATGATAAAGTCATGACTTTTAAAAAACTATTTAATAAATGCAGTATTCTTAAAATCCCAACAGGAAGAAATGGATAGTAATCCCATGGTGTCATCTCTTCTTAATAAACTGGCAAACTACACTAATTTAACTCAAGGTGTGGTGGAACATGAAGCAGATGAAGACAGCAAGCGAAAGGAAGTCAAGGTATTTAAACTTCTAGTAAGTTATTGAGACAAAGCTAGCCACAGAGGAGCATTTTTCAGCCTAAAAAGCAGATATGTGGATGCCTAAAAACAGCAGCAAGGTTTGTACTACTGTGTTTAAAATGGAAGCATTTGTAATAGAACTTGTGTTAATTCAGTGTTCTTGTTAGCATGTTTTAGCAAGCCCTTGTGGTAAAAGCCCTAGATAAGATGTGTGTAAGACTAGGACCTGAAACATGCAGTGCCCTGGGTTTCCTCCTCTTTTCTTTTTTCTTCTGTCCTTGTATGAGCATCAGTATATCAGTCTGCCTTTAGTGAGAATACAGTATGATTCTGGGTATTTTTGCTCGTTTGTTAATACATTTTAATTGTCTGGGTTTTTACCAAAAATTGAAATTTAAGGAAAACTAGAGATGAAATAGTTTACTCCTTGAAATCCATAAGAGTATACTGTTAGCATGGAAACAGTTTTTCTGAGTAGCTCTCTTGTTTGTGTGTTGGAGTAAGTAGTTTTAAAACTTAATCAGCACATTCCAAGAAAACATTTTGTTGCATAGTTCAAAAATATATTTATCACGGCAGGGTGGCGGGGGAGGAAAGGCAAAGGCTCTGTATGACACATCCCTAAGCACACTTGCTAGAAGACAGCAACCTAATTCAAGGGTTGTCTACTGGATACCCAAAGTGCTTGTCTAGGCCTCTGTAGAAATGGGACATACACAACTGCTGGAGTCTGCAACGAGATGTTGGATTGATCCCTCTGTGAGCAGGGAGCTGTTTCAGAAGGAGAAAGCTTGGATTGAAAACATGACCTGACAGAGAACAAGAAGTTCCAGGCAAGGAGGGATGGTGAGCTGGAACTGGTTGAGCATGGTGACTGAAACCAAGAAATTTAGGGTAGATACTGGGAAAAGGAGATTACTGGGAGTCACTTCTCCTTGTGTAGAAGGGGAGTTGCTACTGAGTTTGTATGCTGAACTATGGAGAAGGAAGGAGAAGCACATAAAAATGAATAAAAGGAAATGAGCACATAGCAGAAGAGACAGATATGAGAAGGTGCTTAAAAAAGTGGAGTTAGAACTGGAGCTCACTTGACTGGAAGAGAGATTTATTGTATAGTATCTGAATATTTGTAGTAGAACTGTTTGCATTAGGACTTGACTAGTATAGGAAGTTAGTACCAGGACAATGGGCAAGGGTGAGGAATAAAGTCCAGCTGTTGGTTTTAGCTTTTTGCTTACCCTGCATTTGTTTGTATTGAGTTTCTTGTTTGTCTCATTGTGCTTATTCTGTATTTGTTTCTTCTCATCGGAGGATACAGCTTGAGATAGGAGAAAACCAACACTGATCAACTTACCTTTTTTCTTAGTGTGATCCCTGTCCTCTGTCCACCTGCTGTGCAAAGGCTTTTGTTAATGCAGCACAGCATTAGTCCCTCTGGAACTATCCAAATTAACACCATGTCCTCACTTGCACTTGATCTCGTTTGAGCACCATCTCATGGCCTGAAAACACAATTTCTATATATGTGTCTTTTTTTCAGTTCCATGCCTGAAATTAAGTGATGGTTAAGTAGTAGCCTGACAGAGTAGCATCATTCAATGACGTAATTGAGACAGTAGCATTGGTGTTGCACATGGATATTGCCCAAGATGCTAAAAATAAAGATTAGACTCTAAATGGCATTCCATGTTTCCTTATATGCCATTCCATGGCATTCCATGTTTCCTTATAAGTACTCGGAACCTTAGTATTTTCTTAATAATTTTGTTAATTTATAAAGCAATGGTTGCTTATTGATTTAAATTGATTGCCCTTTTTCACAGCTTGAGTTGTGATTTAAGAAGAGCTTCTGTATCTGGAAACCTACTGCATATAATTTTCCTTTAAGTTGAGTATTTCAGGTCCTGATTTCTTCATAAATTTAGAAAGCTGCAACTTTAATGATGAAGCCTGAATACTTTTGTGTGTGTCTTGACCCATGATGATCTCTAGCAAATAAAAAGTACAAACAAATGTACTATGTTGTGGCAGGTACAACTTTTTTAAAAACAAATCATAGCCAGTTCTATTTCTTCTGGCCTTGTGTCCTGATGTCATCTGGGATAGAGTTTATTTTCTTCCTAGTAGCTGGTACAGTGCTGTGTTTTGGATTTAGTGTGAGAATAATGTTGATAACGAACTACTGTTTTAGTTGTTGCTAAATAGTCCTTATCCTAAGTTAAGGGTTTTTCAGTTTCCCATGCTCTGCCAATGAGGAGGTGCAGAAGCAGCTGGGAAGAAGCATGGCCAGGACAGCTGAGCTGACTAGCCAAAGGGATATTCCATGCCGTAGGACATCATGCTCAGTGTATAAACTGAGGGGAGTTACTGGGAATGGTGGTTTGCTGTTAACGGGTGATCTGGGCATCAGTCACTGGATGGTAATTGTATTGTGCATCACTTTCTTGGGTTTTCTTTCTTTCTTTTTGCTATACTTATTTTCATTACAATTACTATTTTATTTTAGTTATTAAACTGTTCTTACCTTAATCCACGAGTTTTACTCTGTTTCCCAGTTCTTCTCCCTGTGCCCCCTTGGGAGTCGGGGAGGGTGGCAGCGTGAGCAAGTGCCTGTGTGGTGCTTAGTTGCCAGCTTGGGTTAAATCACGACAGTCCTTTCTGGAGCCCAATGCGGAGCACAAAGGGTTGAGATAACAACAGATCTGACCAGAGAGTGTTAAAACAAAGTTGTTATAAGTATTCATTTTATTGGTTTAACAGTCACTGGTCACAATGAGGGTTCATTTACTCTCAAAGTTGATGTGTGTGTTTTTACAGTTGTGTTATGTAATACCTTACTTGCTTACCTTACACTTGCTGTTGTGCTGCCTATCACCTGTGGGATCTGGGCTAAAGTTATCATGCTGCTGTTGGCGATACTGTTTATGATACGAAAGAAGTGCTGGTCGTGGAACTGATTTGGTGTTTGTACTCAGCCTAACTGTTACCTCTGTAAGCATTATTGACACCTCTGTACTTCGGGAGCCATCTATCGGAAACTATTAATAGTTACACCTTTTACCTTTTCTCCTCGGAGAGCCAACCTATGGAGGAGACATGTCTGTACTTCGGGTGCCATCTTGTGGAGACTATTAAAATAATGACACTTTTTACCTTTTCTCCTCGGGGAGCCAACCTACGGAGGAGACATCTTCCCACATCTTCCCCTTCTCCACCTGGCTAATTACAACAACATTTGAGATTTCTGAGAATTATGAATATCCTTGGGATTGAAACCAGCATGGTCCTGTTGCTAGGGTTCCTGAATGTGGCTCAGGTCTTGTTTAGGGTTAAACACCTATTTAAGAATAGCACCCAAAGAGCAACCCCCATGACAAGCACTGCAGCTACTCAAGCCCTGGCAACAGGCACTGTGGCTACTCAGACCCCGGGCATGGGTGATGCAGCTAAACCAGAGAATGTACCAGTGTCAGTCACCCGTATGCAGAAGAAGAAACACACAAAAAAATCCGTTTGTTTAGTAACGGATGAAAACGAATGAAAGCCTTCACAGAAAACAGGAGGAAGAGGCAGAGGCAGAGATAATCACCCGTTCCCTATCCCTGAGTGAGCTGCGAGATAAGTGAAAGGATTTCAGCCATTGTCCAGGTGAGCACATTATCACCTGGCTGCTCTGATGTTGAGATAACGGGGCCAGTAGCTGGAAATTAGAGGGTTGGGAAGCCAACCAGCTGGGATCCCTTTCTAGGGAGGGGGGTATTGACAAAGCAATTGGAAAAAAGACACAAGTCCTCAGCCTCTGGAGATGACACCTGTCAGGTGTGAAGGAAAAGTGTCCCTTCAAAGGAAGATGTTGTATGTCATCCAGGCAAGTGGACGGCTATGGAGAGAGGTATCCAGTACCTGAGGGAATTAGCTATGCTGGAGGTGATTTATAATGAACAGACAATGTGCGGTTATTCACAGATCCAGTTGAAGTCCCATGCACACAACCCATGTGGCAGAAGTTTGTACAGAGCACACCATCATTGTATGCAGTAATGGTCTGTAAAGGTGGAAGAGGGACCAGCGGAGGCTGAATTGGCTGGCTGACTCTGGCAATACAAAGAAATTTTCTCTTCCTCCCTCGTCGTGGCTGTGGAGAAATTGCCAGATATGCTAGCTGAGAAACTGTCTTGGGAGTTCCAGCATTTCAGAGGATATGTTCTGCTCCCCACCTGTGCAGACCAGTATCTTGGCTGTTAGGAGTAAGTGTTCCTCTGCTCAAGAGAGAGGATGTAGAAGGTACCGTGGAGTACGCTGTGGTTTTACCTGCAGGACCACGGAGAGGACATGAGGAAATGGTTTGCAAAGTTTACCTCAGCCCTAGAGGCACAGGTACATGAGTTGCAAGGAAAAACAATCATACAAGGGGGTTTGTCAAAAATTGCTGGTCTGGTCAGCAGTTTTCCGGAGTAGAAGAGCTGATTTTATTCCTGATTCTATGGAAAGGAGCTCTAGTCCATTTTCACAAGAAGTAATAAATACTGTCATAAGGATGAGAGGGGCCCTGCCTCTGGCCATGTGAAGGAAAGGGACAGCCAGGTTTACTGTACAGTGTGGATTTGATAGACTGACACGTCAGACTCATGGGAGTATAAGGCTGTAGTGGACACTGAATGCACCTGTATTCACTTTTATTACTGTTATTTTAGTTATTAAACTGTTCTTACCTCAATCCATGATTTTTACTTTTTTTCTGATTCTCCTCCCCATCTCACTTGCTGGGGGTGGGGGTGGAGTGAGCAAGTGGCTTCATGGTGCTTAGTTGCTGGCTGGCATCAAACCATGACACCTTGTCTGTCTTTTTTTTTAAAACTGATAACACTTATTGTTGGATATAATTGTGTGAGCCAGCTGCAGGGCAATTGGTGATCAACTTTTTTCAGAATATATTTTGTATTTTGCTTATGGCACTAACTTCTATTCAACAGTAATCTGCAACTGGTATTTCAGAAGAAAGCTTTTAAAGCTTTGTAATTAACAGGTAAAGGGGCATCCTACCCCTATCAGGGTTTCATCCTAATTCCTGCGGCACAAGAGGATTTGCTATAACAAATAGGTTTCTGTCTTTTGAGGAATCTTTCTGTATAAATAGCCGTTGAACCTTTGAGAAGCTGGTCACTTTGAACCTACCATTTAGTTTCACTTAACATTTGTTCATGGAGCATTTTGATAAGTGTTAGTGGAAGTAAGTACTTATGAACTTAAATTGTTTAGTGGGAAGGAATTAATGCCCTGACTTTGTTTCCAGGTTCCACGTATGGGTACTTTCATTGGTGTGTACCTGCCCTGCTTGCAAAACATCTTGGGGGTCATCCTTTTCCTACGTTTAACATGGATTGTGGGAACAGCTGGAGTTCTCGAGTCTTTCATCATTGTATTCATGTGTTGTGCTTGTGTAAGTTAACCTTTTTCTTTACTATTGGCCAAATCTTCTGTTGCAAGAGTCCTGCTGCCTTCTAATATGAGAAGCAGAGGACTTTATAATGGTTAAGTACCATTTCAGTTGGGAGACATGGGAGATATAGATATAGATATATATATGCATGCATGCACTGAGTGTCACATATCCTAGCCTGTATGGAGTTTCTTTTGAGTTGACAGTAAGCTTTTATTTTTGAAGTATTATATGGATTTTATTAAATCATCTTTTAGGAAATATTTCATGATTTATGTTGAGATCTGAACTGTTCTGCTTTTCACAACTTCAGAACAAACTGGAATATGAACTGCCCATCAATCCTCAGCATTATGTCCATAAATTAACATTTTGGAATGTGAGGCTGCTAGTAGATGGTATTGTCATAACAATGACACGATCAGTTTGTCACTACTTTTTAATTTGAATAATGAGCATCATGTTTTAAGTATGTTCAGTGGTCTGTATTCTTCCAGTTCTTTTCAAAGACTCTCTCAAACATTTAAAGTAACTGAATCTTCTACTGAAAAATACAGTACTTAATTTACATGGATATCCCTAACCAAAAATAATGATCATTTTTGGTTGCTGTAACATCTTTTTTAAAAAAATCCTGGTTTCATTTGATCACTTTGTCTTGCCTCATCTTTTAAAAAACTTTCAGTAATTTAAATTTCCTCTTTTTCATCTTTCCACAGACTATGCTAACTGCAATTTCAATGAGTGCAATAGCAACTAATGGTGTAGTTCCAGGTAATGAATTCTATGTGAAGTGGTGAATGGTCAAATGATGGAAGTTTAAAACTGGGATAAGAAATTACTGTAGTCTGAGATACCAGAAGTAATGCTTTTGTGTCAAGTGCATATTTTCTTTTAATTGATTTATAAATTACTTTTTAAGGTGAGATGCAATCTTTTAACTGGACCTTCTGGGAATTATGAACTATAGCACATTTTTGTCATCAGTCATTTGATTCTGTTTGAAAGAAAGATAAGTAATGAATAGAGGTGTCTTCATACAAAGCAGATTTCCTTACAAATTTACAAAAAAGATGGCTGTTTTTTTGCCTGAATTTGCTTAGACTTAATCTCTAAACACTGGAGGAAATCATGTTGCTGTCCGCAAGAATAACAGCTGTCAGAAATCTTTTTTTTATGTAAGCACACTAGGTTATGCTCATCTCCTTAAATGTTCGGGATAAAAAGATTACCTTGTTCCTCTTCAATTATGAAGCTCTTTTGTTTTGTTTTGGTTTTTTTAGATGCGAAATCAGTTAGCCTTTGAAGCTCTTACCCTTTTCAGTTTCTCAACACATTAATTGATAATAGCAGTACTTAGACATTGTTATGAACACTGAATAGTTTACCAGTGAAGTTAAAAGAATTTGTCACTTGCAGAGCTTTTCCAGCTTAGTAAGGGGTTCCAGAACTGATGCATAAGTTGTTGGGCAAAAGTAAATGCTACAACTTGTGCAGGATGTATAATAATTTTATTTCATTGATACAGTACCATATATGAAATACAAATACAATAGAAAATTTTGTTTCAAATACTTCTATTTTATAATGAAATGTAGTTATACTAATCAGCATTCAGGTAACTAAAATGTTCTGTTTTTTCCCCCTTATATTTTTAAAACTCTGTAAAGGTCCGAGTGTCACAGAAATCTTTGAAGTTGGCAGTTCTTATACCAGACAGGTCTTCATTTTCACTTTTTTTTTTTTTTTTCGTTGGTACCAGCTTCTTACAGAAATGCTGCTTCTGTAAGCATAGTGGAATGTGTGGAGGAAGCAGAAAGCACAGATAGGAACCTAGGATTGCAAGAGACCTGAGCAGCAGGATCTTGTCTCTTGCTGTTACATGCAGTGGCATTATATTTAGTAAAAGGATTGGTGATGCATCATAATTTTTTTTTTTGTTAATTCCACATTTATTTGTATTGAAAAGCAATTTCAGACTTTGCCTTTTGATTAGAAGTTGTTTCCTATTTGTGGACTAATTGTGTACAAGACTAGTATATGTTTATTTAAAATAAAGCACTTCCTTTGTCTATCTCTTCTTTCTTCCTCAGTTGGCATGAGTGGGACAAACATCATGAATTTAAGAGAGGATGGAGAGGAAACCAGAGTGTAGCATGCCTTGAGAGGGTTGAGAGAAATCTAAATAAAGAGCTTGAAACTTAGAGCCTTATTGTAAGGGAAATGGGACAGTAGAAATGACAGGGATGTAGCTTATGTCTTAAAGAAAGATGATGCATATATATGGGAAATAAAAGTGAGAAGAACTGAAAAAGTCAGAGGAAAAGTGCGTAGTATATGAGTAGACAAGAAAAAACAATCCCTACCTAACACTTTTCAGTGGTACTGAAAAAATGTCTGTAGTGGTAATGGTTTCATGTACAGAAAAGAAAAAGAATGCGCATATTAATGAGACAAATTTTATTTTGTTCCTATCTCATAAAGAAATTATTCTGGAAGTTTAGTGTTTGATTAACAGCTTGAGGTTAGAAACTAAAGATTGATTCACATTCACATCTGTTTATACTTGTATATACTTTTTTAATCTGAAAGTAAGAATCTGAATTTTTATCTCTCTTTTCCTTGGTATTTGCTTTTTGTTCCCCAGAAAATGCATATGAGGATATTCACTTTGAAATGTATATTCTAACTGCTTAGTTGGTATAGATATTGAAGACAGTTTTGGTACGAACATTTCAATGTAGATGCATGCAGTAGTTAACATTGATTATTTTGATTGAACAATTCAAGTTTTTGTTCCCTACTGCTGTCCTTAATCTGAAAAATTGGAGTCTTTTTTTGGTTAAATTCACAGCTGGAGGCTCTTACTACATGATTTCAAGATCTTTAGGACCAGAGTTTGGTGGAGCAGTGGGACTTTGTTTCTACTTGGGTACAACCTTTGCAGGAGCAATGTACATTCTTGGTACCATTGAAATTTTGTTGGTAAGTACTAGTTTCTCTTAAGATTAAATGTATTTGGGCTGTTTTGTGAGATTGCTGAGAAATATTCTCGGTCTAAAATGCGTCCTAGTTCGGTGATTTTTCATGTTTTGATACTGTATTTCCAGTATGTCAGTACTTATTGTTATGCTGCTTGTGATTGTTTAAAAAAGTTAAACTTCTGATCAACAATAGAAAAATAAATTAAAGGCTGTATGATGTAAGTTTGTTTAATGTAGGAACCACATACAATTTGTTATCTGATGTTTACTATTTTGTGATGGATGCAACATATCTGTTGTTACTTTTTCATAACAAATTCTGAATACTAAATATCTCATAAATTATGCTTCTGTACACCTACAGAGTTGCAAGAAAAACTATATTAATTCTAATAAGACATACCTAAAATTCCAAAATTAAACATATAGGACCAAGCTGGAGATATAAATAACAAATGAAAAATAAATAGTAAATGTTTCAGTAGGTTTTGCAGAAAAGAACATCAGATCATCAGGTAGACTTTGGAGACATGTTAATATTTAATTCAGTGATTTTTGTACCAACTTAAAACTACAACTTTTATTTCAAAAATGACAAAAGGTGCCACAAGAAATAGTGCAGTCCTTAGTGAAATATCACATTAGATTGCAGATTAAATCATGGGCAACAATGCCCATTTTCAGGGCCTCTGAAATGTTACTTGGATTTAGTGAAGCTAAGTCAATTATTTCAGTTTTAAAAAGTAGTTTATTTACAAATGTGAAGGAATTAATTTCTTATTTGGATGCTTGTCTGCATGTGTTCATGGAGTACCACAGCAAACTTGCAAAAAGTTTGATACATGTGTTATGCTGCTTCTGTGTTGTATGTCCATATTTCCTTTTCCAGATCAAAATGCCCAGATGCACATAGCACTTTCTTTAGGTCACCTTAGACTTGGAAATGAAAAGCTAAAGATTCCATCTTGAGAATCAATTTTTTTTTTTTTTTAGTTTATTTTTTCTTCTACTCTGAACGAAGTCTTATTCTTTTTTTTTTTTACTCCCTTGATAGCTGAGCAGAGGGTTTTTTTGTAAAAGTGTTAGAAGAAGGAATAAAGTTATCTTTATGGTGTAGTGTAATACACAGATGTCTCAGAACTATAAGTCACAGTTTGTCTTTTTCATTTGCATTTATCAGTATAAGTCCTATAAGCTATGCTTCCAACTTTTCAGGTAGAACCCAGAACAAAATTATATGAAATTGAGATCTCTTAGAGAATCCTGTTTGAAATCATAGTAGTTCAAATTGTCTGTTTTGGCACTAATCTGCTGTTGCAATTTCAGATTAAAAATTAAGGTAAACTCACCATAAAATATTTTTCAGGATACAATGTTTAAGGTATCTTTAAATTTTGTGAAATTTTCGTGTGGGGACTATAGTACTGAAAGCGTTTTTAGCCATGCTTTTGTTTGATTCTTCATATTTTGTTTCAGTCAGTGGAATCACTAATCAGGAAATGCTTCAAATTAATCTAAGAATATATCTGGTTTGAGCTAGTTTTCAGTTTTGTTTTTTCTTTTAATTTTTGTCAATAGCTGCTCCCCCGCCCCCCCCC